ATCTATCTATCTATCTATCTATCTATCTATCTATCTATCTATCTATCTATCTATCTATCTATCTAACATCGGTTCTGCTCTCTCACGCACATGCCTCCCCACCCCTTCAGCAGAGATAGACCAGCTCTCACCTCTGTACTTGCAACCTCTTCAAAGGCGTTCAGTGGCTCAATCCATGGTTCTACAGAGGCAGGACGGTAGCTTTTCCGGGAAGTGTCTGATTGAACGAAGTACAAGGGCAATTGTGTGTGTGGAGCTTCTCTACAAACTTTTAAGAAGCCTCCAAGGAGGCTCACCTTATCCAAATTTAAGACTTGTTCCAGTTCGTAAGAAGTGTTTATTTATTTTCAACCCACACGAACGTTGCCATACATCTGATGCCCAAGGGCCATAGAGACTCCCTGCCTGTTCCTTGCCAAACACCTGTCCAGAATGCTCAAAGAACAGCTGACAAAATAGACTTTAAAAAACAAACAAACACCTATAAAGACACACCTCTAACTGGCACGATCAGGTTTGTTCTGATCCAAAGGATGGCCCATCACTGCTAGAGCTGCCTGTGTACACTGGCCCACCAAGACATCACTTCAACCTCAATCCTCCCCTCTTCCTTTCCTTTCTCTTTCCTCCAATCGAATAACTTACTGGAATTCAGACGGTTCCAGATCTGTGGGGCTAGGCCTTCGGACACTGGCCCGCTCCTGCTGAGAGGCTCCCCCGGGGTCTCGCCTTTGGAGGCTGCGAAACCTGGCCCGCTGCTGGGAAAGCTCAGGGGCTCCTGTGAGAGGTGGGGAACGGTACCAACGTTATCCCCTAAGTGCTTAAGCCAAACGCTTGTCTCTTTTCCTCAGCTTTGGACTAGGGTGGGGAAAAAAACCTGCTTACCTGCTGCAAAAGATCTTGCTTGCGAGGCCGTTCACGGCGTTTTGCACCAAAGCCACCTACTGGGCCAGATTCCTTCAGAGGAGCACCGCTGGAGCGGAGAAGCTGGTTCTTGTCCAGGAAGCAGGAATCTGAACGGAGAGGAGGAGACAGTGGTTCCAATCAAACCAGAGAGAATCAGGCAACAACATTCAAGATGGTGAATAAAACTCTATATACAGAATACCAGAATTGGAAGGGACCTTGGAGGTCTTCTAGTCCAACCCCCTGCCCAAGCAGGAGACCCTATACCAGGGGTAGGCAACCTTGGCTCTTTTATGACTCGTGGACTTCAACTCCCAGAATTCCTGAGCCAGCCACTGGAGGCTTTTAAGAAAAGACTTAAGTGACAAGAAGTCACTTGTCTGGAATGGTATAGGGCAGGGGTAGGCAACCTTGGCTCTTTTATGACGCGTGGACTTCAACTCCCAGAATTCCTGAGCCAGCCAGGCTGAGGGGAAAGGGAGAGGTTTCCAAGCTGAGCCATGCTGGCTCAGGAATTCTGGGAGTTGAAGTCCACGAGTCATAAAAGAGCCAAGGTTGCCTACCCCTGCCTTATATCATTCTGGGAAAATGGTTGTCTAATCTTTTCTTGAGAACCTCCAGTGTCGGAGCACTGATTAATTGTTCTAATTGTCAGGAAATGTCTTAATTTTATATAAATTCTGTCCCTCTCTGGAAAGCCGATACATTTTACTTCTCCAAGAATGGAAGCACTTTGGTGGTTTTAATAAGCCATTCTAGAGTCCATTATTAGTAATCTGAAAAACCAAGCTTGCACTGCGCCTTGAGGAAACCAGGTCTGCCATAAAAAAATAAATAAATCATATGAGCTTTTAGAAAAGGTACTGTCAAAAGAGGAAAAGGGATGGGAGCTCCAGAATATCATGGTTTTCCTGGCAACGTCCACGTGAAAGCTAATACACTAGCCACCTTTGAACTTAATTTAATTTTAACAGCTACCATGAACATCCCAAGTTGTTTTTTTTCACTGTGTAATCTCATTGATTACAATGGGATTATTAAACAATAATCAGGAATCACTATTAAACAAAAAAAAAAATGCTTTAACTCCCCCACATCCCATGACCTGAGCTTCCAAACACAATTCCTGGGCAAATGGGTATTTTTGCCAACTAGCAAATTATAGTCCCAAAGGAGCTTTTCAAAAGGCAACTGGACTTTCTTGATTATTTTTTTTTCTTCTCATCCAAGAAGCTTCTTCAGTTCAACTTGGATGAGAAGCGAAATGATTTCAAGGAAAAAAAAAAACCCCCAAGAAAATCCAGTTGCCTTTTGGAAAAAGCACCTTTGGGACACCTGAGAATCTCCATAGACATTTAGCAAATTATAGAATAATTTTTTTTCGAGCTTCGGCTTAAACTCTGGCTATCGGGGGCGAGTCATTAGCTCCCGCGGAGAGGGCCCGCAACCTGGGCGTCCTCCTGGATGCTCGGCTGTCTTTAGACGATCATGTGACGGCCGTGGCCAGGGGGGCTTTTCATCAGGCTCGCCTGATACGCCAGTTGCGCCCCTTTCTGGATCGTGACGCCCTACGCACGGTCACTCAAGCCCTTGTTGTTTCCCGCCTGGACTATTGCAACGCTCTCTACATGGGGCTCCCCTTGAGGTGCACCTGGAGGCTCCAGCTAGTTCAGAATGCGGCCACGCGGGGGATTTGGGGGGCCTCTAGATACTCCCATGTAACACCTCTCCTGCGCGAGCTGCACTGGCTGCCGGTGGCCTTCCGGGTGCGCTTCAAAGTGTTAGTAACAACCTTTAAAGCGCTCCATGGCAATGGACCTAGGTATTTGCAAGACCGCCTCCTACCAAATACCTCCCTTCGACCAGTCCGCTCCCACAGAGAGGGCCTCCTTAGGGTGCCGTCGGCCAGACAATGCCGGCTGGCGACCCCCAGGGGGAGAGCCTTCTCTGTGGCAGCTCCTGCCCTCTGGAATGACCTACCCCCCCGACCTACGTACAACTACGGACCTGCGCCTCTTTCGCCGAGCCTTGAAAACCCATCTATTCCACGCGGCCGGCCTGGCGTAGTTTTGATTGTGTTTTGGTAGGGGTTTTTATATGGGGTATTTTAGAGCAGGCTTTTTATTTAATATTTATTGTGATTTTTATTATTGCCTGTTCACCGCCCTGAGTCCCGTAAGGGAGATAGGGCGGTATATAAATTTAAATAATAAATAAATAAATAAACAAACAGAGTCCCACGTTACCTGTACTGCTGCCACTCCTATTCTCAAAGCACCCCAACGGGTGGCCGGAAGCACTCCCGCTTCCGGATCCGAGGAAGGACGGCTGAGCCGGGCCAGGGGAGGCGGGTTTTGTGTGGCGGCTGCCCAGTTCAGCTAGAGCCTGCTGGATGCCAGCTGGGTCACTGTGAATGACGCGATCCAAACGGTACACTGTACTGGTAGTAGGAGCAGGAGGAAGGCTCAGGCCCGGAGAGTGATCGTCTGTGTTTCGGCTAGAGGGGAGCGAACGGTGATCGATGGAAACATTACGAAGCAGAAAAGGAAGGAGTGTCCACACTAGGCCACCCTCAAATACCCTCCCTTCCATTTGGGGCCAAATACTTTCCCCCCCCATGCCTATGACGGATGAGCCCCCTGCTCATTTCTCCCTCCCTGGGGGTCTTGACTCAAGAAAGGGACTTGTTCTTGATCCAGCCTGTCAGCCAAAGGATTTTTCTGAACATCAAAAATAGGATGACCTATTATTATTAATATGATGTTATAATTATTTGTGCTTAATATGTTTGTTTAGAAGAGAGTTAAAGGATGTTATAGTTTTGTTAATCTAATAGTGATTAATGTTAGACAAAGTATGGTTATTGTATCGTTAACCCTGGGATTGGCTCTGGGAAGTGGGGGGGGAGGGAGGGGGGAGGGGGGGTTCTGGGGAGGGGGGGAGATATATTGTAAAACTTTTCTAAAATTTTCAATAAAAATAATTAAAAAAAAATAGGATGACAAACTGGCAAACGGCTACGGATTTTAGGATAAATTCCTTGAAAGGGGAATGGACAGCCTCAGAAGGGCTTATTTTTTGGGGGGGACATTCAAGCGTAAGACATTTTGGTCCTTATGTTGAAGGCACCGATGAGGTGAGGGCTCTCTGGTTACAGTTAGCTTTTGTCAAGAAGATTATACTGGAGCTTAATCACTATGGAAAAGGATTGAGGACCGCGCTCCATAAAAGCATTCCTAAACAGAGCCGAGGCTTTCAAACGTGGCTACTTGAACTGGACTATGAATTAGTGTTGTGGTATTTCAGCCACTAGGAATAACCAGGCCTGGCAAGCAAGGCTGTCTACCGAAGAATACGCTTGTATTTTACTGTGGGAACTAGGGGAGACAGGTGGAATAGTGAGAGAAAGAGCGTGTCTCTGAACACTATTTTTTGCTCCTAATAGGAGGAGATGCTTTTCCCAAGCGTGGTAACCTTGTTGATTTTTAATTTCTTTGCACTGACTTTTGTTACACGTTAAAAGTATTTTTTAATGCTTCTACACGATGCAACATTTTTTTAAAAGATAAAACAGCGCCAACAAAAACTGCAACTGCAGCTTAACTGAGTGTGAGACACACTACCGATCACTTTCACCGATCATCCTTTCACCAACCCGATAACCAGCCAGGTAAGGTTGGACTGCAACGCCCATCATTCCTGGCCAGGACAACCAGGCTGCCTGGAAATACAGTGGTACCTTAGTACTCAACTGCTTTGAAACTCATCAAATTTGGTACCCAATGCATTTTGTCGCAATTTTTTTTGCCCCGATACTGCTTTGTTTGGTACTCAACGCACAAGTTAGAACTTGTCGGTGTCGGCTGCCTTGTGACTCACTACATCAGTGATGGCGAACCTTTTAGAGACCGAGTGCCCCAAACTGCAACCCAAAACCCACTTATGCATCGTCGAGTGCTGGGTGGGTGTGGCCCATTGGCTGGGTATTGCCATTGGATGGGCGTGGCCAATTGGGTGGGCGTGGCCGCGGTGGTAACGGCAGACTGAGTGGCACTAAAAAGTTCAATCAATCAACTCCAACTTTGCAAGATCTTTTTTTTTCCCCGCGAGAAGTTGAAATTGACTGAACCTTTTTTTTTTTTTTTGCACATGGTGGTGGAGGCCTAAAGCGAAAAGGTTTTATAAAACCCAGCTGAAGGCCTAGGATTGGGGCGACGGCGCGTGTGCCCACAGAGAGGGCTCTGAGTGCCGACTCTGGCACCCGTGCCATAGGTTCGCCACCACTGCACTACATTATTCTTTATGGGGGGAAAAATCTGTTTGGTACTCATTGTTTTTTGGTCGTCACTGTGCCTCCTGGAGCCAATTAATGAGTACTCAGGTACCACTGGAATGGGAAATGTAGCCCAACAAAAGCTTAGGACAGCAGCTTATGGTGGCGGAGGCTACGCTGGTTTAAGTCAACCTGGACCTTTCCAATCAGAAAATCCCACTTGAATTCCATGCTTTGCTTTGGGCTCTCCTCGCACCCGCTTCACCTAATGTAGGATTCATCTCCCACCCATCCCCCCTCCTCAGGACTTGCCTGCGATTCTTGGGCGAGGGCCAGCTTCTTTTATCCCCTCCGCTGCGACCGCTGTTGCTCCCTCCACGGCCAGCTTTGCCTCCTCCCCCCGAGCCAGGGTTGGAGCGCCGGTTCTGTCGGTCCATGCCAGGCCGTTGGCTGGAGAAGCTGCGTTTGGACATTTCCTTCTTCTGGGCTAAGCTGAGCTCATTGGTAGAGGGGCGCCCCCCGACGGAAGGCACGGTGGAGCAACCCCCTTTCAGGAAGGCAGTGGGGGGAGGTCCGCCAGGCGCCGGCTCTTTCTCCCCACCGCCGCGGCGCTCTGTGAAATCGCTGCTCTCTGAAGCCGTCTCCCACTCCTCATTTGCCTGGTCAGAGTTCTGGTTGGACAAATCCGGAGACTTTGTGCCAGCCACTCTACGGGCTGTCGATTCCTCCGGGACGGGAACAGAAGGTGCCGGGGAGAAAGGCTGACCCACCCTCTGCTCACCGTTGAGGCGGGCAGCGTTCTCCCGTTCCTGTTTCAGCCTCCGGAATCGAGGTGGCTTGTCCTGTTGCTGAGAACGGCCGTGGCGCCGTCGCCGAGGTGGTCGGTCAAAGGTACGGTCAGAGTTGGGGCACAGGGGAGATTGTTTAGGGGAGGCTTGAAAACCACCCGTATCTTCTGGGGTCATCGGGGGAGGTCCCGGGGGGGCTTTTTCCTTCACTGAAGGTTCCACAGCCACCTCTTGTTGCTTTTCTGGTTTCTTGTTGGGTTGGGGCTTAAAGGGAGGGCTCCAGCCGCCAGGAGGAGCACGGCCACCTCCTCGGCCACGACGGGAAGGTACACCCCGAGGAGTGAAGACACGCCCACTACGGGCTCCTGGATCTGAGAGGCGTGGAGGCATCTTGTCAGCAAATCGAGGCAAACCGGGGTGCTGGGAGTGGGGTGCTGCCGTCGGCGTCATTGGCGGGCCTCGGTTACGCTGGCTAGGGGCTGGTTCTTTGGTCATCTCCTTGTCCGAATGGGCCACATCGCTGGCACTCTCATGCGTCTCACTTCCTGTCTCAGACCCCCGTTGACGTCGCCGTTTCGGGATCTCCTCATATTCTGATCCTTCACTCCGCGTCTCGCTGGTGTTGCGAGGACGGAAATTGGAGCCAGGTCCCATAGATTTACCAGGCCCATCATCAAGTCGATAGAAGGGCTCACGGTAGCTACGGAACTCTCGGCTTCTTCCCCGGCCGCCTCGACCACGGCCACTATAAGCACCTCGGAAGCCCCGTCCTCGGGCAAAATACTCTCCTCGCCCCCTTGCGCGGCCACGGCCAGCATAGCCACCACGCTCGTAAGGGCCTTCTCGCCGCCGCCGGCTTGGCGACAGAGTGCCCTGTTGTTGTTGTTGCTGCTGCTGCTGTTCTTTGGGTGGCATCACTGTTCCACCATTGACCACTGGCTTGGCTTTGTTCTCCTTGCCCGGTTTTGGAGGCTCTTTAGGTAGTTCCGGCTTACTACTCACTGCCTCTCCACTCTCCTTGGCCTTTCCTCCAGTGCGCACATCGTCAGCTTCATCTTTTATCTCCTTAGGGGGTGGCGGTTTCTTAATGGGCCCAGCTCGGCGTGGAGTCTTGTCTCCAGAAATGTCTTCAATTTTCCGGCTGCTGCCAGGACGAGGACCCCAACGTGTCTCTGTTTTGGACTCACGCCGTGGCTGCTTGTGGAATTCATGCTGCTGCCGCGGTGGCTTTTCAACCCGCCGTATTATTTCCTCTTTGACCGGGGTCTCCTCTTTTGGCTGTTCAGAGGGAGGCTTTTTAGCTACTACGGGACGAATGACCAGAGGCTCCACTGATTTGACCTCTTCTGGGAGGTCACGATGGAGCAACTGTGGTTCGTCTTCACTTTTGCGAGGTGTCTGCATTTGGGGCTCTGGGCGTCCATTTCTGTTCACTTCTGCCGGTGCTGGCAGAGGCATGCTAGCTTGCCAAGGCCCTCCTGGCCGTGGGGACTCGTCCATGGGGAAGCGATGCAATGGTGTAGGGTTGCCATTTTCTGAGAAACCCTGGTAGTTCCCCATGTATGGCTGAGGGGTGACAGCATCGCGGAGGCGAACAGGTGGTGTCTCACTCCTGAAAAAGTCATCAAGCATATATTCTATTACAGAAGTCAATAAGTGGTTGATTTTTGTAATAAAAATAGTATTCAGTAGTACACGAGAAACTGCTCTAAACTCAATTGTAAAAAATTCAATTTTTGTCACCGAATTGTCAAAGTCTGGAATGTCTTGCCCGAGTCAGTTGTCCCAGCCATTTACTTTCAGAGTTTCAATTACAGCTTAATTTCTGTGGACCTCACTCCATATTTAGGAGGCGTGTGTAAGTGCACTAGCATGCCTATTGTCCCTGTCACGTTTTGATTTTCTTATTTTGTTTGTTCAAATTTGTAATTTCTGTTTGAGGAATAATTTTTTTTTAAAAAAGGGGGGCAGCCCCAAGCGGTGCCATCTGCCTTCCTCCGTCTCCTCATCAACTCTCCAGTTTCATGCAAGAGGCGTAAGGAAGAGCAACGGAGATTCAAAAACTGATGTCTTTGGGGATGAGGCATACAAGTGTGAATTTCCTTCATTCAGAAGGACCACACTTCCTGATGTGGTCCCAATAACATAAAAAATCAAGTTACCGTACAAGGCAGGGTTATTAATTTATCTTCCTCCTCATTGCTGCATCCAAGCAGCCCAAAAATCTTCTAAAGGTTCCTCACCGTAACCCTTTCTCCTCTTCATCCTGTTGCCGAAGCGATCCTGCTGGAGGCCGTGAGTCAACACTAGAAGGGGCGTTGGTGAAGACATCTCCAGCCCAGGCTAGCTTGGGATCAACAGGTGGCGTTCCGCGCTCGCGAAGGATGGGAGGATGGCGGTCAAACTGTTCTGAGTTGGAGCCCCCGCTGTCTGATCGCTCACGGGGCAGAAGACCTGAGGGGAGAGAAAGGGCAGCAGCTGTACACAAATCAGATCTAATTCCCCGTGTAGTCTTCTAAATCAGCGGTCTCCAACCTTTCCAGCTTTGTCGACTGGTGGGCAGGGGGAAGATGGGATGATTCCACGTGGGGGGTGGGTGAGCTTGTGCAGCTCCTTTTGCGCAAGTGGCGGGCACCTGTGCCCGCAGCTCACACAAATGGAGCCGCGTGAGCACGCTCACCTGCTACACGCGCAAGTGGAGCTGTGTGTACGTACCCCTGTTGCTTCCGTGGCCCGATAGTGGGCTGCAGCCTGGGGGGCTGGTGACCCCGTTTTAAATCCAATCACTGCGCCACGAGCCATGTGGCGCAGTAGTTAGAATGCAGTACTGCAGGCTACTTCTGCTGACTGCCGGCTGCCTGCAGTTTGGCAGTTCGATTCTCACCGGCTCAAGGTTGACTCAGGCTTCCATCCTTCCGTGGTGGGTAAAATGAGGACCCAGGTTGTTGAGGGGGGCGATATGCTGACTCTGTAAACCGCTTAAAGAGGGCTGTAAAGCACTGTGAAGCGGTATATAAGGCTAAGTGCTATTGCTATTGCTATCTTCCATCGGATTTAGTTTACCCACAAATCAACATTTATTTGTTGTACCGGTACGTACCAGAGGGGTGTACACCAGGAGGATAAAAATCCATAGGGGGACGGCCCTGCATCATGCGTGGGTCCATGTAAGGCGGGATCATCATCCAGCGAGGGTCAAAGTTTATCTGAGGCATTGGCGGAGGCCGTCCAATGGAGCCTGGGTAGATGCCTTTGGGTGGAGCCTGCTGTGCCTGAGGGGGTGCCGACGGCTGCTGCTGTCCAGGTGGCCCCGCCTGAGGATGAACATTGCCCGAGGGGCCCATAGGGGCCAGAGGAACACCTGATGCCTGCTGCTGGGTAGAGGAAGACAACGGAGACTGGACCTGGCTTTGTTGTTGTTGCTGCTGCTGCTGTTGCTGCTGCCACTGCTGCTGCTGTTTCAGCAACTGCTCCTGGGAGGGTAATGAAAGCATCTTTTACTACACAGCCCTCAACTGCTCCTAACCAGAGCCTGTCAGATCTGCCCTCAAACCACTTCCCTTCACTTTGATGGCAGTCTACTATAAACTGTGGGGAGAGTTGGGAAAAGATAGGAACGGGGAATGACAGGAACTGGAGGTGCCAACCAGAGACACCAAGGATGCCAGCCTGGGAAAGGAATGCGAAGGCCCACGAAAGAGGGGGCAAAATGTGGAATTGTTACCAAAACACCTAGTTTGAACCTTATTGGATATCACCAAGATGACTAAATGCCTAAGTTGGGACAGGTCTGATAGATCAGGGCTTTTCAACCAATGGTATGGGTACCACCTGTGGTACATTGGCACCTGGCAGGTGGTATGCGACCATCCTAGAAAAGTAGCGGGAGAGGGGAATGAGCTGAACCGGTGGCAGCATCGCACAAGCCTGAGCGAGAGATGGCTGGAGCTGCAGGGCTGTCAGGGCTCAGCGGAAGCGCCAGGATCAGTGCCGCTTTCCAGCTGATCAGCAGTTCTTCGGGGCTGTCAGGGTTCAGCAGAAGCGCCAGGATCAGCGCCAGGCTCCAGCTGGAGCTCGACGCTGATCCTGGCGCTTCTGCTGAGCCCAGAAGAAGCGCCAGAATCAGCTGGAATGTTGCAGCATCTCCAGGGTCTTGTGATTTACATTCAGATGCTTGGCAACTGATTCATATTTATGACGGTCACAGTGTCCCAGGGTCATGTGAAGTGACCAAAACCTGCTGCAACCACCCAGCAGACGGGGGGGAATAAAGACCAAACACCCCCCCACCCCACCCCCGCTGCCAATCCTCAACAGAAATGCTCACAACAATGGAAACCTCGGACAGGAGGAAGAGCGCCGCCAGGTGGGCAGGCAGGTGTCTTGCTCGGCTGTGGCTTGGGGGGCCCTTTTTTCAGTGCCATTGTAACTTCGAACAGTCACTAAGTGAACTAACTGTTTTAAGTCGAGGACTACCTGTACTTTATCACTTTTTTCTGGGTTTTTTTTTGGGTCATCAAGTTTTTGACCCCTTGCTAGGCGACTGGTGGTACTCGGATGTTGCCATATCCTAAAAGTGGTACAATGGGTGAAAAGGTTGAAAAACCCTGTGATAGAGCTCCCACTTGGACAAGCAACTGCTGGATATGTTTGTTTCGGTAGCTGCGAGGACATCAGCAGGTACTAAATCCTTAATCAGCGCTCAACCTAACCAGTTCTACTGGCTGTTTCTTCTCAAGACTTCTCACACTCTACCTGCTGTTGCCGCTGGAATCGAGGCGGTAAGGACTTCTGATATTTTGAGTAGCCAAGGGTCTGCGCCGGAATTGGCTGGCGAGCTGGGAGAACCGTCTCTCCCTTGGGCTCCACCTTGGCAGAGATGGGCGCTGCTGGAAGGACGGGTCCAGGTAAGGCTGGCGGCTCTTCCCTCACTTCTGGAACTTCCTTGGGAGGAGGGGGCGGAGTCACAGGGGGTTCAGCTGTGGTGGAACAAGATGGAAAGACAGGAAAAGGGTCGCCGAGTCCCACACATCGACCAGTAACTGGTGATGGGTGCATCTATGACGCACGTCATAGATGACACGCCGTGTCATTTTTGGTGACATAACCCCGTGCCTCTGGATTCTCTGGAAGTCATGCAAGAGGGCCCTGCTCTTGAATGGCCTCTGGAGCCTCCCCCCCCCAAAAAAAGTACCCGTGAATGGAATATGCTTTCCTGCTTCTTTTGGAATTACAAGGTCACTCAATAAGCATTCTCCAGCTTCCAGGCCTCGTGATGCCTTAAGACAGGCATTTTGAAAAATATTTATAACTATGGAAGAATGTATTTAATAAATTTAAATAATTTAATTCAAGTTGCTATTCTGTTATGAATTGTTGCTTTTATAGTGTGTGTGTGTGCGTGTGTGTGTGTGTGTGAGAGAGAGAGAGAGAGAGAGAGAGAAACACATCAGCAGACTCAATTAAACATTTTCTGAGTTTTTGACTGCTGAGCTCAAAAGGTTCATCATCACTGATTTATCATCATCATCATCATCATCATCATCATCATCATCATCATCATCATCATCATCTTAGCCATAGTCTATCCACTGCAAGATGATGGCCTCTTCCACGTTTCCAATCAATGCCACTGATCCCTAAGGTGCTTAAAGTTTATCTTCCTGAACATAGTTTTCTCTCTATACATAGGCTTTGACGCCTCAAAATCTACCAGGAAGGATCTTTTCAACATAACTTTCTCACTTGTTAAAAAAACAACAAAAAAAGAATTTTTCCTGTATTGGTATTAAGATGAGGCTCTCCTGCGTTGTTATTCATTTAAATCTTTGCAAATTGGCCATTTGATGTTACTTTTTTAGTTCAAAACCTCGTGATGCAGGATGGCTTGCGAGGTTGTCCAAATTAAGTAAAAGATAATCCTGTTCCCTCAGACTGCAATGGCGTGGCCAGAAATAGGTCATACGTTGGATTTTGGAGAGGTCTTTTTTAAAATTTGGACAGAATTCATATGCAGACAATGAGAGTATTAGGAAGAAAAAGCAGACCTTGCTCCTCAAACCAGCTATGCATCGACTAATCTGAGAGACCTTTCCTATTTCTTTTCTCCACTTCTGAGCAAAAAAACTAAAAGATTGATTGATGCTGCCTTTTGTCATGTCCTTGACTAACCAGCATTTTGCATTGCAAAAGATTCTGAGGGTTTCTTCTACAGTAGCCTTAGCCAACCTCTATGTGCATTTAAAAACCAAAAGCATAGTCTTACTAGCTGGGAATGATGGAGAATGTAGTCTAACACACTAAAAAAATGTAGTCTAACACACTTTGTGGATGGCTGCTCTGGAAAATGCTTGTAGCCAATACTCTCCTGTGCAAGAGGGAGGGGATGGGAGCTGCTGGGAAGAAGGGGGTCAGGGAGGCAATGAGATCCTGCGATATTGGTGGCAACTAAGGGGGCGAAGGAAAACACTGGAAGGAGGAGGAAGGAGAATTGATCAGTGGCTAAATCATCAGGAGAGCTGCTGAGGGGAAAAGAGAAGAGCGCAGGGGACATGCCCCCTGCCTCGCTCTACTCACTCTACCTGGATTTTACTTAATCTGACATGTATATCAACCCAAATATTCCAAATTTTATTTCTACCGATTCAAACCAGGACTGCTGGAATATGATCCTTGTTTCCAATTTGAAAAAAAAAAGAACACTTCCCTCCCCAAAGATTAAAATACCAAAATATTTTAAAAAATGGAAAAAAAACCCACAACCAAAAAGACATTAACAAAAGTGTCTTTAAAAAAAACCCTAACACATATTACACATAACATCCTCCCTAGTTGAATGCTTATTAGTATAATACAGCAATGTTGGTTTTCCCACCCCTTGCCAAACAGGCCAAAAATACTTATAAACTGTTAAACTACTAAATCTACTTACAAACTGTTATAGCCTATAAAGTCCAGTGGTGGCGAACCTATGGCATGCGTGCCAGAGACGGCACTTAGAGCCCTCTCTGTGGGCACACGGGCCGTCGCTCCAGCCCCGCCTCCCCCCGTGGCCCCCTCCTCACCAGCAGCCCCCCTAGAGGAGAGTTGTTCCCGGGCGCAGCCCGCGTAGAGCAGCACAGCCAAGAACATGGCAGCCGGGCAGCAGGGACAAGACTCCACCCTCACGCCCCGTCACCTGCAGATGCTGCGGGGCGCGGGCGTGGCCATCATGGCGCTGCTGGGCCGCCTGGGCGATCTCTCCTGCGGTGGGCTGTGGAGGCAGTGGGTGGCCCTGCGGGCGGGTGAGGGTGGGGCAGAGCCGGGGCGGGTCAGGCAGTTTTTGGGCACTTGGTCTCTAAAAGGTTCGCCATCACTGCTATAAACTATATTATCAATAAAGTGGTTAACAGAAAAAAAAAACACCCAATAATAACAAAGATTATTATGTAAAAATATACAAGCAATAAATATTGTGAACCGTGATAAGAGAAAGACGGGGTAGAAATTCCAAAACCCTCGGTTATCACTTCCCCCCCCATTTTGCACACTGTATACATCGTGAGGGCAATTTCACTGGCCCTTTGCCTAGCCCAGGGACAGGCAACCTCGGCTTTTTCATGACTGGTGGACTTCAACTCCCAGAATTCCTGAGCCAGCCGTGCTGAGGGGAAAGGGAGAGGTTTCTAAGCTGAGCCATGCTGGCTCAGGAATTCTGGGAGTTGAAGTCCACCAGTCATAAAAGAGCCCAGGTTGCCTACCCCTGGCCTGGCCTCTCAGATATGCTTTTCTAACACTAACAGGAAGAAAAAGGTTACCAAGAGCAGCCGAGTCCAAGTTGATCCCATTGCTGCCGTTGCCGCCCCCGCCGCTGAAACCGGCAGCAGCGTTGTGAGGTTTGCTAGCCAGAACCAGCTCCTCTTTTTTTTCTTCCGGGGAGCCTGGGGCAGCCAGTGGACTGGGGGGCACCGGGGTGGGGGGCAGAGGAGGAGTAGGAGGAGTAGGAGTAGGAGGTTCTTTGGGAGGCTCCGGCTTCAGACGCTTGTCGGGAGTGCCAAACTTCTCGTCCAGGCGCTTGAGCTTCTCGGCACAGGCCGCTCGCCGTTCCTCTTGCATGCGCCGTTCCTCCTCCTCCCGCCGACGCCGGGCACGCTCCACCGCAGCAGAGATCTCCGTCGAGGACTGCTTTCGGCGCTGGCGCCAAGCTTCATCCTCATCCTCAGGAGGAAGCGGCCGCACTGAGCGGTCCTGGAGGGAAGAAACGGCCTTAGACTCAAAGCTGCTCCCTCAATTAAACTGCGTTTATTTGGGGAGGAGGGGGGGAAGAGAGAAGGGGTCATTCCTGCTTAAGCACCGCAGTGGAAATTCCAAGGTCAGAGGTTTCACGTGCAAGTCCCGTAAGCCCCTCATGCTTCCGCTTATGGAAAAGCAGCCCTTGCCTCGTTGCACAATAAAGCAGCAACCAACTACAGGTATGACTTGGTTGCTTAGTGACTGAAGTTACGATGCATCCCCAAAAACTCGGGATTCGAATTTCTGATGGCTGCCCCCCCTTCTGGTCACATGATTCCATTTTGGGTGCTCAGAAAACAGTCCACAGTAGGGGTGGCGAACCTATGGTACAGGTGCCAGAGGCGGCACTCGGAGCCCTCTCTGTGGGCACACGTGCCGTTGCCCCAGCCTTGCCTCCCCCCACGACCCCCCTCCTCTCCAGAAGCCCCCCTGAAGGAGAGTCGCCCCCGAGTGTGGCCCACACGGAGCAGCACAGCCAAGGACATGGCAGCCGGACTCTGCCCTCACACTCCCATCGTGCTCAGTTGATGCTGCAGGGCGCGGGCAGAGGGTGTGACCGCCATAGCGCTCCTGGGCTGCCTAGGCGATTTGCGGCGGGCCCTGGAGGCGGTGAGTGGTCCTGTGGGCGGAGCGGGGGCGGGGCAGGGGGTGGAGCGGGGCGGGGGCCAGTTTTTGGGCACTCGGTCTCTAAAAGGTTCGCCATCACCGGTCCACAGATACTGCGGTCATCCTGCAGCCATCAGGCTGCAATTTACGGGGTTTGCCGAAAACTGGGGCTTACGTCCGGTTTTCAGCAAAAAAAAAAAAAAAAAGGGCCATTGTGGACAATAGGTTTGCTTTACAATTGTGTTCACTTAATGATAAAATAATTGTAAAATTGGGTGTGATCCTGTGATAACCCACCTAATAACGGCACGACTTATAGCATTATTCTAGGCTCAATTACAGTTGTAAGTCAAGGACTATGTAGAGCAGGGGGTGTCAAACTGCCGGCCCGCGGGCCGGTTTCATCCTACCGAAGCCGCGCCCACCCCATTGCCGGCAATGCAAAAAGAGCCGCCACACGTCGCGACACGTCGCGTGACATGGTGAGTTTGACGCCTGTGATGTGGAGATTCCTTTCCCTTCGGTTTAAGACAGAAGCACGATCCGGTCTAGGTTCTCAATCCCTGGAGAGACAATGTGCCAACCCTCCACCGACTCACCGGGAAATCGTTGGGCTGCCCCCAGTTGCCCCTGTTTGGGGGTGGAGGGGGCGGAGGCGGCGGTGGACGGACGGCAGGGGAAGGTGGCGGCACGTCTTTGGCGCCCTCCGCAGGACGGGCGTTTTCAGTCCAGGCTGTTTTCACAAGAGATTGATCCTCTTTTGGAGTTCCAGCTTTCTTTGTCTCGGCGCCCGAGGACTGGGTTTCAGGACCAGAAGTTTCATCATTGCTACAAAGAGAGAGACAGAGGGAACAGTACAACAGAGCTTTGGAGATGGTGTGCACACCTGGCATGCCCAGTTTAATGAAAAGGAGGAGCAAGGGGAGACCGGGGGGGGGGTGCACGGGACGGCAGTGTTCATATCCGGGGCTGCCACAAAGAAGGGGGGGGGGATTGTCGACCTATTCTGCAAAGCCCCTGAAGGCAGGACAAGAAGCACTGGAGGGAAACTAATCAAGGAGAGAAGCAATCTAGATACAGGTAGTCCTCGATTTACAACATTCCACTTAGTGACCGTTTGAAGTTACGACGGCACTGGAAAAAAGTGACTTATGACCAATTTTTCACACTTATGACTGGCTGCAGCATCCCCAGGGTCACGTGATCCAAAATTCAAACGCTGGACCACCGACTCATATTTATGACGGTTGCAGTGTCCTGGGGTCTTTTTGTGACCGGATTCACTTAACAACTGTGTTTACTAATTTAGCAGCTGCAGTCATTCGCTTAACAAACGTGGCAAGAAAAGTTGTAAACTGGGGCAACACTCAACAAATTTCTCATGTAGCAACATAAATGTTGGGCTCAATTGTGGTCCTAAGTTGAGGACTACTGTACAGGGAGAAATTGTCCGACAGTGAGGATAATTCATCAGTGGAACGGCTTGCCTTCAGACGTTGTGGGTGTTCCATCATTGGAGGTTTTTAAACAGATTGGACAACCACTTGTTTGAAATTGTATAGGGAAGGGGTAGGCAACCTTAGCCCTTTTATGACTCGTGGACTTCAACTCCCAGGATTCCTGAGCCAGCATGGCTCAGCTTGGAAACCTCTGCCTTCTCCTCAGCACGGCTGGCTCAGGAAGTCTGGGAGTTGAACTCCACGAGTCATAAAAAGAGCCAAGGTTGCCTACCCCTGGTTTCCTGCGTGAGCAGGGGGTTGGACTAGAAGACCTCCAAGGTCCCTTCCCCACTCTTGTTATTCTGCTATTCTCTTTGCAGCTTGGTCAACCAGCTACAAGAAGAGCTTTGACTCAAGTACTCTTGAGATGCAGCCACCTGGGAATGATTTTCCTTGGATCTCACATGGCCGAGGGCTGCATCTCCAGAGTGTCAAATATGAGTAGAGGTACTTCTTAAAAAAACCCTTCTTTCCTACAGAACTGATAGCCCAGGGAACCAGTTCATGGGAAAACCCATGCCGTCAGTTACCGCACTGCCCAATTCTTACCGGCTTTCAGTAGTTTCTTCATCAGACTCTTTCCCGTCTTCTTCATCACTGAATTTTAGCTTCTCAGTGTAGTCCACTTCTTCATGGGCTCCTGGTGAGAGAGGAGGGGGAGAGACAATGAGACCGAAATGCCAAGCGCCCCTGGAGGGTTGGAAACAAAGTGCCTAATCCAGCAACCATGATGCGATCCTTCCCTCCAGTTTACCTGCCCAGCCCTCGTCGTTTTCCTGGTCCAGCTCGTCAAATTCTTTCAGGTCGTCCTGCTTGAGGACGGGGGGGCGGTTTACAGGTTCCGCGGTGCGCGACGGAGGTTGTGCGGGGCGAGGCCCTGGGAGCCGCTGGAACCTGAGAAGGAAAGAAATTTAAGCAAGAGAATTTAAGCGCCGCTACTGCTTTCTGCTAGGCAAAAGACATTTGAAACCCAGGAGAAAAGTCAAAGCGTCAATGGTTATCCAAAAGTATCTGAGTTCAGATGTTCTCCCGCCCACGTACTGGAGAGGCAACCTTATTTAATAATAATAATAATAATAATAATAATAATAATAATAATAATAATAATAATAATAATAATAATAATAATAATAATAAAAGTTGGAAGGGACCTTGGAGGTCATCTAGTCCAACCCCCTGCCCAGGCAGGAAACCCTACACCATTTCGGACAAATGGCTGTCCAGTCTCTTCTTAAAAACTTCCAGTGTTGGAGCATTCACCGCTTCTGGAGGCAGGTTGTTCCACTGGTTAATTGTTCTAACTGTCAGGAAGTTTCTCCTTAGTTCTAGGTTGCTTCTCTCCTTGGTTAGTTTCCATCCGTTGCTTCTTGTCCTGCCTTCAGGCCCTTTGGAAAATAGCTTGACTCCCTCTTCTTTGTGGCAGCCCCTGAGGTATTGGAACACTGCTATCATGTCCCCCCTCGTCCTTCTCTTCATTAAACTAGACCAGGGGTAGGCAACCTCGGCTCTTTTATGGCTCATGGACTTCATTGCCTACCCCTGAACTAGACATACCCAATTCCAGCAACCATTCCTTATATGCTTTAGCCTCCAGTCCCCTAATCATCTTTGTTGCTCTTCTCTGTACTCTTTCTAGACTCTCAACATCTTTTTTTACATCGTGGTGACCAAAACTGGATGCAATATTCTAAGTGTGGCCTTACCAAGGCATTGTAAAGTGGTATTAACACTTCACGTGATTCTATCCCTCTGTTAATGCAGCCTAGCACTGTGTTGGCCTTTTTGCCAGCTGCAGCACACGGCTGGCTCATATTTAAGTGATTGTCCACTAGGACTCCGAGGTCCCTCTCACAGTTACTACTAATGAGCAAGGTACCCCCTATACTATACCTGAGCATTTGGTTTTTCTTGCCTAAATGTAGAACCTTGCTTTTTTCACCATTGAATTTCATTTTGTTAGATAGCGCCCAGAGTTCAAGTCTGTCCAGATCCTTCTGTATCTTAAGCCTGTCTTCTGGAGTGTTGGCTATTCCTGCCAGCTTGGTGTCGTCTGCAAATTTGATGAGTTCCCCATCTATCCCCTCATCCAAATCATTGATGAAGATGTTTGAGAAATTTATCGCTAGTGCCTGAGCCACTACACCCTATTGTAGCTCACGTTTCAAGCCAGACTGTGAATAGAACTGTGAATTCTACCAATTTAGAATTTACCTGCGATACCCATTTAAGTGTTGGTTAATCAGCTGTGTAATTCTTTTATCTGAATACTGGGAGCAAAGTAAGCAATTAGAGAAGTGTGTTTCCTTAACTCAATCATGTATTTTCCTAGGACTATGTGGCTGCCACAGGAGCCCACAAAAGGGGGCAGCTCATTTAACAAAGCACCCCCAGATTGAACAAGTGGTCTTGGGCCCCCTCTGAAACACCCCTTTTTCATTGTGGCTCTCAATAGCTGCACATCCCTTTCACTTCTCTATTAACAACCGAATCTAGCTTTCTTCTGTTTAAACCAGGGGTAGTCAACCTTGGCTCTTTTATGACTCGTGGACTTCAACTGGCTGGCTCAGGAATTCTGGGAATTGAAGTCCACGAGTCATAAAAGAGCCAAGGTTGACTACCCCTGGTTTAAACGATACAAACTTTATCATAATATCTTCATCTGCCTTAACTATTCTGGAAATTTAAAATTAAGTGCGTTGATCAAATGGTCTGAACAGTTTCAGAGTCCCTTTATTAGACCATAATATTATACCAGGAAGATTTCAAGCATTTCACTTTTGCTTCTGCTAGAGAGCAGGTGTCCTCCTCAAGCCACATTTCAATTCCCTTTACACATAAACCCCCCCCCCCCAAATCTCTGATTTACCTCTGTGCCTCTGCTGTGGGGTAGCGGTAAGGTCCCTGTGGCCCATACGGAGGCGGGAACGGGAGATATGGGGGATACATCTGCAATTGGGTAGAGAAGGAATTCATTACTGGAAAATTCCTCAAACCCCCCCCCCCCCAAAAAAAGCTTTCTAACGAAGCAAAAAGGCTCATCTTCCACAATATACTTACAAATGGCGGCATCATCCCCCGATAGGGAGGGAATTGAGGCGGGATGGTGGGCTGCAAGCTGACACCAGCCCGTCCATCCTCAGGCACCAGCTCCCCATCGGTGCCCCGCCCACCTCCATCCCGCCAGCTGGTTGCATCTGCAAGAGATTTACCAGAGGAGGGAAATAAATGGGAAGAATGGGGAAAGAGCCCTTTTCAATGGTTTACCCCAGAAATAGATGCCTCTTTGCCTCAGACCTCAGAAGCCGCTGTCACTTACTCTGGGGGCGGAGGTTTGGTCCGGGCCCATACGACGCATCGGTAGTGTCCTTTTCTTTGCCAGGTTTGTCCTGGTCGCCAGCCGCCTGCAGGGTCGGAAATTCCTCGCGAGAGAATCGCGACAGTAGGCTTGATCCCTTTCCACCTTTGACACCAGGGGAAAAGAAAAAGATGGTTAGAGACACTCTTGGCAAAATAGCTCCATCCCCCCCAAAAATGGGGGTGCTTTACTTCAGGGCTTTTCAACCTTTTCACCCATTGTGCCACTTTTAGGATACGGCAACATCCGAGTACCACCAGCAAGGTGTGAAAAACGTGATGACCCAAAAAAAAAAAAAAGTGATAAAGTACAGGTAGTCCTCGACTTAACAACAGTTCGCTTAGTGACTGTTTGAAGTTACAATGGCACTGAAAAAAGTGCCCCCCCCCAAGCCACAGCCGAGCAAGACACCTGCCTGCCTGCGCTCTTCCTCCTGTCCAAGGTTTTCATTGTGAGCATTTCTGTTGAGGATTGGCAGCGGGGATGGGGTGGGGGGGTGTTTGGTTTTTATTCCCCCCCGTCTGCTGGGTGGTTGCAGCAGGTTTTGGTCACTTCACATGACCCTGGGACACTGCGACCGTCATAAATATGAATCAGTTGCCAAGCATCCGAATGTAAATCACAAGACCCTGGAGATGCTGAAAACATTCCAGCTGATTGGTGCTTCTTCTGGGCTCAGCAGAAGCGCCAGGATCAGTGCTGCTTTCCAGCTGATTGGTGCTTCTTCTGGGCTCAGCAGAAGCACCAGGATCAGCGCCGAGCTCCAGCTGGAGCCTGGAGCTGATCCTGGCGCTTCCGCTGAGCCCTTACAGCCCTGCAGCTTCAGCCGTCTCTCGCTCAGGCTTGTGCGATGCTGCCACCCGTTCAGCTCAGTCCCCTCCCCCGCTACCACTTTTCTAGGATGGTCGCGTACCACCTGCCAGGTGCCAATGTACCACAGGTAGTACACGTACCACTGGTTGAAAAGCCCTGCTTTACTTGTATGAGTCGGAGCATGACTTACCATCGCCTTGTGCTCCATGGGTAACGCTGGCCTGCGCCCAGGACTTTACCCCGCTTGCTACCGTAGGGGGAGTCTGAAAGAAGGGGACAGGGTGAGAAACACAAACTAAAAACAAAATCTTGATGGCTTCCAATTATCCAGGGGTCTTAACAGTGTAGCTAAACGTGAATCCCAGCATCTAGATCAGAGTTGCCAAAACCTTTCTGGCTTTGCGAACTGGTGGGGGGGGGGGGAAGAGGGATTGGTTCCAAGCGAGCTGTCAGCAAGCACGTGTACACACGCAGCTCCATTTGTGCTAGCAGCGTGCATGCATGCTTGCTGCTCGTGCAAATGGAGCACGCGTGCACGTGCTCGCCCGTTTCCGCGGCCCGGTTGCAAACATCTCAACGCCTGAACTAGATCATCTTTCCATAAAATGTCAGTTTAATGATGGACATACAGGAGCCAGCATGGGATTTCGAGAGTTGGTTGGGAAAGGCTGATCTAGTAGATCACACTAGTTCCTTCAAGACAATACATTTTCTAACATCATGGTTAAATGTAAAATTGATGTGCTAAAAAAAGTTCTAGAAAGCAGAAGGGTGAAGGTTAGAATCGTCCAGGAGTTATTACTCAAGCATTCTTGCATCTTGCAATGGCTACTGAGAAACTCATAGGAATGAATGTTGTTTAGACACAACACTAAACTATGTTCACTTTAACAAAAGATTCAGGCTCATGAGCCACTCTGTTCATCCTTTGGGCCCCACACAGATCGGAAGCTTTGGTTTAGCAAATCATAGGCAAGCATTTATGTATAACCAGGCACTAAAATGTTTTTTGATCGTTATGAGGTGCAAACCGGCTCGTTGTTGCTCCAATACTACACATGAGGAATCAGGTTGCTATGGTTTGTCCACATCACCGCCCCCCTCCTGTATAAATTACTGCAACGTGTTCTACGTGGTGGGGCTGCCTCTGAAGCGTACTCAGCAGCTGCAGCTGGGGACTAAATGGTGCAGCTCATCTTTTGGCAGGTAACACTTGCTACATGCACACCAAGTGGGGCCGCAGTTCTCTCTACCGGTTGCCAACAGGCTTCCAGGTCCAAGCCAAAGTATTGATTTTGATTACCGTATTTATCGGCGTATAACACGCACAGGCGTATAACACGCACCTTCATTTTAAGAGGGAAATTTCAGGAAAAAAACTTAAATTTCAAATAAAGAACTTGAAGCAAAATAAGGGTAGCTCAGAACTTTTTTTATTAATATTATTAACACTTATAAGGTAAATAATGTAAAAGGACAGTAAAAGCAACTGTTTTA